CGGAGATGGAAAGATTTCATAAGCGAGGGTTGATATTAGCGAATGTATGATATCATTGTGAAATACCAGGACGTAAAAACGTAATTCGGGAACACGTGTTTGAGACAAGTCAGCATGGGTAAAAGCAAGGATAACATTTATGCATCGGACGAGGGCGTAAACATACAAAATGTAGAGGGTATTTAGCGATTTTCTCGTGAAACGTGTTGCATTCCTCCAGTTGTCCTCACACAGGAATAGATAGTAACAAGGATAAAATCTATGCATAGGATGAGGGCGTAAACAGACAAAATGGAGCGGGCATTTCGTCTGGTCCCTTGCCCCGATTTCAATACCTATTTTCTTAAATTGGGGTAGGGGATCAGACTAGCGGACATTTAGCGAATTTCTCGTAAATGTTGACTTATTCGGTCCTATGCGACTTGTACAACTCGTGTAAAAACACACATTGTTTGTTTATACGAAATTCCAGCGCACGTTAGCGTATCGTATCGCGTCATGTGTATTGTTGCTCAGTGCACCAACCGTTTAACCACACAATGTAATTTCAATATCATCACCAGGTTTGCATCGATTGAGGGCGCCTAATCCAACGAGGGTTTGAAAACCCACGTGATAGAGGGACTGTGGTTCGAAGCACAGTTCCTCAGAGGGTGATTTATGGGTAAAACAGTTTTAGATTTGTCTATTTGAATGAACGCGTATCACCTCGAAAAAGGCTGTAAAATGTTGCCTGTGTCAGAGTCAGCAAAAATGTTTAACATTAGCGTATCCAAAATCTCTCAACCGGGCGTCTCACGTGGGCACCACGGCGATCGGCCCGGATGTACGTCAATTAAGTCCGGCCACTGAATCTCCGGTCCGAGTCGGCTTACCGAGCACGCCATCAGCGGTAAAATCAGTCGATTCTTGGGGAACTTAAATGCTAAAAGTGGAGTTTATCGAGAAATATTTGCCATGTCACAACGACTGCGAGAATAATTTAATTAAAGTTATATTATATGTGAAAACCTTTGGGGTTACCTCCTACATTTTTCTACTACCAGAGATTCAGATTCGAGTCAATGTACCTAATCAATTCACTGTCCAGTCGACCACTAGTCATGGTATTAACTCTAACCAGACCTTATTCTGTTGCAATAGCTATTTCAAGATACTAGTCATATGTATTGAAAAGTTTAGAAATTTATACAATTTGTTATCTTTATTTGAACATTGACATTTGTATGATAATATACATTTGTATTAATATTTATTGTACCTGCAGAAGTAGTGGAATATAATTTTTGCATGGTTTTGTTGCCGTTGTAAAACGGTGAAATATGGTGCCGGTTTGTTGTCAACCCCTGATTTTGAATCACGGCTCATGATTCCGTATTGCCTCTAATAACACTGGAAAGAATAGTGTTCATTTCCTTCAAGTTGACATTTCAGAAACTTTCGACCGTACTTTCCTGCTCATTCATTCACCAAATCTGAAGGCAATTGTCACACAAGGAAGTAATCGACAGCCACTTGTAATGACGCCACATTATATTTGGTAACATGGACTATTGCCGAAACAAAAATAGAAAGATTCGATAAGCATGAGTTTAACTTTTCTACACATTGAAACCGGAACTGTGTGAATAAACAATTCAGTGTTCGCCATCATGTGAGAATAAAAACAATATATAGAAATATCTGAATATTTTTCTATCATTTTATCAATAAGCGTCCGGACGATTAAAGGGGAACTAAATAGAGCCTATTTTGGTGTTTGTATTTATCAAGTTATGTATATTGATTATAAATTTGAAAAAAAAATTTAAAAAAAATGATTATCTTCAGAGTTATGATGATTTAAATATGAGAAACCATAAACCTGCGAAGGACTTCCGTTTGCGCCATCTTGCCATAAA